AATTATTGGTATTCTCCGAAACATGAATTTTTTTAATTTAATAATTTAGTAATAAATTATTAAATTCATCTCGGAATTGTTTAAAAGAAAAAAAATTCAGGGTTCGGAGAATACTAATAATTTAAAGCAGTAAGGATGTATAATTGCCTTGTATAGTTTTTTACTCACTTATCCATGATATTTAACTTAAGTTCCATAACAAAGAGTCAATTTGTTTCTGCAGAAAGAGATTTGTTACGTATATATTTTATAGTATCATAATTATTACCGTTGAGTGCCTTAATAGAGTAAGTGTACGTATGTATAGATCGCTCTGTGTTAAAGGTTGATTCTTATAAAACAGCCAAAACGTTTGGATCATTGAAGACAGTTTTGTCTGCAGCACCATTTCAAGTCGTTCGTTTATTTCACAGTTTTTCTGTACGATTGAAAGTATGATGAGCTGAACTGTCATTGAAATTGAAGAGGGTGTGAAGCTTTCTTTTTAAGGGTTGCTTCGTGGCGAATTTCTCGTGAGTAGAAACAGACATTACTGTATCGCAGGAGGAACGTACTCTACGATTTCTAAACAATGTTTTCAGAGAATCAGATCTCCGCATCTTCTTTAATTTTATAAAAATCAGCTTATTATACTTTTAACTCTGTAATCAAATAATGAAATCTTGAGTGACATTCCACAGATCACCTAACACGACTGTTTAATTGAAAGAAGGAAAGGTATGTTATTTATAATAAATATTTGGAAATATAAAAATGTTGAACTAGTGAACTCGGCAGATTATTAAGAACGATCTCTTGTACACAGGGTGTCTAGTAAGTCGTAATGCGACCGATAGCGATCAGTCGAATTACAAAATCAATTTTTTAAGGTATACCAAAATGTTAGCTTTCCTCCATATTTGTATTATTTTGTACTATCGTATTGACTTGTTCATGTTTGTTTATACGTGTAAGCAACTCTAAAAGTTGTTAAGTTTCCAGCCTGTACTTTCCTAAGATTTCTCTTGTGCCAGAGTAATTTATCTATATAACTATAATAATACTTTTCAACCTGATGATAATTGATAATGATAAGTATTAACATCACTGATTTATCAATAACAAATTCAAGTATATTACAGCAAACATCGGTGTCTTCTCCATACAATTTCATTAAAAACTTCATAACACAATTTATCCTTCCACAAAAATTCCCATTCCTCCAACGCTAACTAAGAAATGTCTATTGTTATCGCTTTATCATCAGGATCGAATTCCCAAGCCATCGTAAACTGACGTCGATGCTCAAGCCGGGGTGATCGGATTTCGTTTCTTCTTCTAATTACAAGGAGCACGTGGAATGCGGCCGGATAGGGTGTATGTAGGCCGAGGAGGGTGCTTATAACCGTGCAATATCACCGTCACGGGTAGGATCAGGGTCTGGTGCGTGTTGCGAGGGGCATCGAGGCCGGTCTCACATATTCAACCAAGGCACACGAACAATATTGATCTGCCCGGGACCACCTGTAGCCAACTCGCTCGTTCCCCGTCCGCGCGACGCGCCAGTGGTTATGAATCTCCGTCCAATTGCCATCAAGTGAGGAGAAATAATCACTGTCGGTCCTCCTCTGTACTCCAGGCGCCTTGTGTCGTGTAAGCGTTAAGTACAAATCCACACTGCCAATTACTTTGGCGGAATACCCGTTCGATCAACCCTGCATCCCCCATCTGCAATTAGTTCGTAGCTACACTCGCACACAAACAGATATTTCTTGAAGGTCCAACGTTAACCTCTTGCTCTATGATTTCTTTCGCAACTGTGTCCCATAAAGCTACTTTATCGTTAATAATTCAATAGAATCGGAAAAAAATTCAATACTTATTCAGTGTCTAAGTTTACTTTAAAGGTTAAAGATTGATAATAGACAAGTAATATTTCATTTATACAAAAAATAAATAAATAACATTTAGATCTGTCGAATTTGGTTGATAATTTTCATCACAAGTTTGACACGTTGTTATAAGGCAAGGGGTTAACCTCTTGCCGTACCATTTAGAGCAAAATCCGAGCCATAATTATGGCGACCGATATTTCACTCGTGTTGTTACCTCAGACTCGTGATATTTATGTTTGATCTAAAATGTTTATCAGTCAAACTCGTCAACCCTTTGTGTTCTGGACACTGGTAGCCGATGAATAATTAATTCCGTAGATTAACGCTAAAACTACCGAGCAATTACAGTGGCTAATTTCTAATTTTCTTTAAAAATTGAAACAATAGGGTCGTCTAGTCTCGCATCTCTGCAAATACACAGATTTAATTAAGAATCTTTCGCAAACGTGCCTTCATAATTTGAATGCTCGCAAAGTAAAAACTCTGAATTCGACCCGTCTGGTAGTTTTAGTGTTAAGGAAAAACGGTTAACAGCGATTTTGTTACATTTAAAGGGTGCGTTGGCGTAAAATCCGACGAGACTGATTTCTAGATTAAATTCAGTTTGCCAACCCTTTGCGCTATGTCGTGACTCGACATCAGTTTTATTCAGGTGTGCTTCTTCGTCAAGATATTTTTCAAATAGATTATGTTATGTTATTTTCAATATTAATAAGATGAATCGTTTGCGTTGCTCTCTACAAAGTGTCTATTTTCTCAAATGTGTTTCGGATGAAATATCATAATAATACAGAGTTATCGAAGAAAAAATGCAAAGGGAACTCAGAGTGCAAAGGGTTAAAATACGGCAACGGGTTCATCAAACCGACCGTGGTTCAGAAGTGAAGAGGAGCAAGGGACTCTTCCACTGACGACGCTCGGACCTCAGCGTGCGCCAATAATGACCATGAGGATGAAAGTCGAGCGTTTTGAGTGGAATGTTTCTCTCTTGCTCCTCTTCACTTTTGAACGAACGGTCGGCTTGGCTAACATGGGACCTCCATAGGAAGTACCGGAGATAGTTCGTGGGGGCTTTTAACATTAACGATACCAGCACTTGCCGTAACCAGTTAAATAACTGGCTGGAAAATAAAGATAAACAAGTTAGATGATCAATGTTTTGTAGTGAAAACAGAAACAAAATGAAAGGGAAGAATTGAAGAACCGGTGATAGGTGACGATCGTCATGCGCGGAATATTCTGTTTACGGATGCATAGGGTTAATGATTTGGTATCATAGTACTGATATTATACTGTTATCTAGCTGATATGTTACTAAATACCTTCATTTGACATCAGTTTTTTTATTTTAAATATTTTTCAGCAATTTGGAAGCTCCGGTCATTGGTGACCTCTATGGTAGTCAACGTGTTGATCCTTTGCACTCGAGATACGACTCGGCCATTTGATTGAACGCAGCAAAATGATGAAACGAAAAATTGCAAATAATATTGTTAGTATTTCGTCAGAAAATAATGAATGTTTCTAATGAAAAATATTGTTGTGTGCGAAGGGTTAAACACGGGGAAGGTTTTTGTAAAATAATTTTATTTCATTTTATACCAACGACATAAACGCAGTTTGCTGATACCAATTTGATTGATTAAACTATAGGAAAATGCTAATTGAAATTGGACCCTAGTTCATTGTTAATTAAAAAACCCCACGAACTTTTTCCGGTGATTAATATAAACTATAAATAAATAATTATTTTTTACAATGAAATATGTAATTCTGGATGTTGAATGTGGAAGTGCTCATGTGGTCGAAAAGTTTTCTGGCTTTTTTTGGCTACTGAGTAAACGTTATTAACAAACGAATATCGCGAAATGTAAAGAACTAGTGTAATTGGTATTTTATGGTTTGATAAGGTTTCATTTCACGAAGTGAAATTCTGTGCTGGAATGTTTTAGTAAATTGAAAGAGAACTTTTGGACCAGCTCGATGTGGTATTAATTGGACTATGAATAATTGATTTGTAAATGTTTTCCCATGGGATTCATGCGTAACGCTGATGGAATAATGGATAATTATTTTTGTAAATGTTGTTCCATGGGAACTGTATTTTCTACAAGCATCGGAATATAAATATTTTGTTCGGTGATTATCATCATACCTTATCCTTGCTGAGGAGATAACAAAACAGTGAGAGGTTTCGCAATGTTTATATTAGGTTGTGAACAAAATTTTTTCGTTCATGACTCGGTGAAAACCGAGCCAGATGTATTCGAGGATTTTCTTATCCGGCCATTTGCCTTTTGCTCGTGCCAGTGTACGGTTCAAGCGTACCTTTCCGGGGGAACTGAAAACTTAATTAGCGAAATTTATTTACTCGCGTTAAAATAAGTGTGGAGTGTGCATTACAACCTAATACTAACCATTACATTGTGAATTTCACAGATGAGTGTTAATATATTAAAAATATAAGAGTGAAACATTAGTTAATTAGATTGAAACAGTTGTACGTGTAGTTTACTAATTTGACTTCAACTTTAATTAAGCTAAAAATCAAGAACATGAAGGGAACGACTTAAAAAGTAACTTCTGAAGAATTTTCTGCATTGTTGTTTCAAGCTTCATGCCCTGAATTACTAGTTTTACTTTCCACTGCTTCTTTTCAGTATATTAGGAGGTAAATATACATTGCAGGTATTTTGTTTAAAGGTCCAGAACGGTTGAAAGCGTCTTCAAATTCACTGAATTGAAGAGGTCTCTTAGAAACCACTATAAGTCCCGAGA